GAAGGCTCCAGGTGATCCCATTTAGACATGGCATCCATCACCCTTTTGACAGCAGGATGGGTTTTGGCACCACTGGTGGTGCTCTTTTTTTACTTCTGCATTCAACCAAAGCAGAAGCCAGTTGCCTGCTAAAATATTTCGCTTCATCCACACTGGTGCCCTCAAAGGTCTTCAAGACAGCAGTCTGCAAAAGAGTTCTGTTGACCCTGGGTGTCTTTGACAGCAAGGCCAGCAAAAAACTCTCATAGGAAGCTACCACCATGGCAAAGTTCGTGTCTTTGTAGCCATCTCCCTCTCCCTTAGGAGCTTGTTGACATCTTCCTGGCTGCAGGAAGTGGATGCTCTGCCAAGTTTCCCTTGGCCAGACATGGTGACACACAGCTGGCCTAAAGCTTGGGAAAGAAAAGGCTGCAACATGTATTCCTTGGCCTGGCCAAACACAAATTCCACACAAACTTGCACAGCTCACAGCAAGGAGCTCCTGACATGACACAAGGAGCTCCTATGAGTCATTATCAACAAGAAAACTATATTTGTTATGTAGAAAAACATACCCTTGAAAACCCTCTAATTAAGGTCTATTGAAAAGACCTTAATTAGAAGGTTTTCACCTTAATTAGAGGTTCTAAATTTAAGGGGTTTTCATTTAGAGGGTTTTGGGCTGTCTGGGCAGGGACCCCACAAAGATGTTTCCACTCATCTGGGATCGAGAGCTTGTCCCTTCCGTCAGGATTCAACCCGGCCGGCTCTGAAGAAGGTGCTACCCTACAGCTCGTGTTAGTCACCCTTGCAGGTGATGAGATCCATTTGCCAATCGAGGTCCGGGAATATGATCGGCTCGATGAGTTTGAAGATGCATGTAGAGTGCCTACCCACTGTTAGCCAAATTGCCACATTTGGGTGTGAACTCGATTTCGTCCATCCGAACACCCACCAAATCCTGAGGCGCACGCCAGCAATGAGCATGCCAAGAAGGATGAGGGTCATGGCTTGAGCTCCATGCGGATTTGATTTTGAACCCAGCTTCTGATCATTTGATCCTTGAGAGCTTTCCTGCGCTGATGTGTGCAATTTCTTTGTTTTCTTCTTGGAGTGAATGTGTGTGCGGATCGCTGTGAGAAGCGACATGTGATTGCGCTCAGCCTGTGTCTTCAGGGATGTGAATCGTTCAAAGCCTTGAGCCCAGCGCATGCATTGTGAGCTTCATGTGCATCCAACTTTTTGGAATATGGGAATTTGTGTTTTTTGCAGAGCTGTGCACATGAGTTCCTGGATGCGTGGACTTTGCTTCAGAACAGAAACGTGATGACAACAGAGAACTGTGTGCAGACAGAAGGCGAGTTCCTTTTAGAAAGGGACTTGAATCGACGCATCGAGCTAGCTTTGAACATGCAAGATGCCCTTAGAGGCCACAACAGTTGACGATGGTGGGAAGCACTGTCTAATCCGAAGACCCCATCAACTTGTGAGGGAGAACTACCCAGCCTTCCCAACCTTGAGCGATGCCTCAGAGATCATGCCTGAGGCTACAGGCGTGATGTGGGTGACCGTGCAGTCGCAACCAGGTGAGAGCTAAAATGAATTGCGTGGACAAACTTTGCTTCTTTTCACCAACGCAAGCAGTGGACCACGAGGGGAGACCACAAATGTGCCCAGATCTTCTGTGCGTGACAGTGTTGATGACACAGATGGGGCTTTCCTTCGACTGCAGCCGCTCCATCTAGTTCTTCGGGTGGAGGGCCAGATGACTGGTTGGAGGAGCGACTTTTGTTGGCAAGTTGTCGAGCTGGGGCTCTTCCAGGAGATGAGCTCGATTTCAGTGACGATGATGCTTTGATGTACACGGCTTGATTGTGCTATGAGGCTTGGAGCCTTGAGAGAATGAAGCGTGACTTTGCTGTGAGGCTTAAGGCGCGAAGGAGTGAGTGAATGAAAAAGGTGAGAGTGGAAAGAGTTTCACTCAGGCATGTTTGGAACACGAGTTTCTAGATATGTCCACCCAGTTCATGGACGTCGCAGACATAGCTTGATTGGGTGCATGATTGCAGTGAGTACATCCTCGCATAAACCTCCATAAGTTGCAGTGTTCCAAGGGCGGTAGCTTCCTTTATGCTTCCCACGGCAGGCTGTTTTCACGAAACAGTGTCGAGGCAGTAGAGCTAGAAACCACGTCTGAGCGAGGCGCGCAAAGTACCTTACTCAGAGGCGGGGTCCGTGGTGTTTACCAGGTAACTTCAGCCCTTGTTTACTGGTTGAAAACAACTCCATGGAAACACGTGGAGATGAAGATACGCCGAGGCTTTGATGGTTCGCAAGAAAAGTTAGAGCTCGAGAAGAGTATGTATGCAAGCGGCCTTGGGTCAGTGGCGCAGGCAGACAGAACTGAGATGACATTGCAGGAGGAGAGCTTGTCAAGAACATGGTTCTGGGTGATTCTTTTCGCAATGGCTGTAGCTCTATTTGGTGTATTCCTGATCTGGAAGACGCGCGAGAAGCTAGAGAAGAGGATAGAAGAAAATGAAATGAACTAGCTTTGCGATTTCAGATCTTGGGATTGAGTTCAGCAAAGGATGAAATCGAGGAAACCAGACTCGAGTTCAAGTCTTATGTGAACGATCAAGGGCAATTCGATTCTATGAGAGATGATTATTGCCAACGCCTTCGCAGAACCATATAGTGAAACAGAACGGCCATGTGGAAGAAGAAGAATTGACTTCAGAAGAAGGCGTGAAGTTTCTTGAAAAAGGAAATCAAAAGTGGGGACAAGAGAAGATGGCAGCAAGACTCATGGTACGTGAGGAGACGAGAAATGAATCGCGCAGAAGAGAGGAGGAGGAGACGAAATAGGGCAGATACTCCAGCGAGGAGAGGAGAATGAAGATAACCTGAGCGGCGTGACAGCTACAGTTCTACTGGATAGTGGAGAAGAAGTTGAGATTCCAGTGGAATGTTTGAGCGCAGAAATAGTGGCAAGAACAATGGATGAGAGGCAACTGACAGCTCCTTCACTTCTGACCAGAACTTCCAGACAATGACGTTGATATGACAGACGCAGCAGCAGTGGGAGCTACTGGAGAAGGAGAAGCAACAGATGGACCCATAGATGTCGGTGAGAAGATGGACACTTTGAGAACCAGAGCGTCATTGCAGGCGCGAGAAGAATTGTTGAAACTTGAAGACAGTATCCAGTTCTACGACAGAGTTGGTGACGGGGTGAAGCTGCGAAAACGCTACGGGGAAGTACAGAAAGTGGTGATTTTTGTCACAGACTGAGTGGAAATCGTTCGAGAAAAGAGAGCAGCATTAATTCCGCCACCAAAGGAGGAGTGCGTAGATGTTTTATTTGTGCTCATGGTTTGCACAAACGACACCGTCAAGGCCGTTTAGGATGGACAAGAGGTCCGCATTCGCATGTACATGTGTTGTGCAAACATTTTACATGATCATGATAGTGCAGTGAATCATACAGGTATTTCAAGCTCTTACATACTGAGCACTTGCCCAACATACAGTATTTAAATGAGACCTCAGAAGATCAGCGTTTTGATTCTTCGTAAGACCATTTTCTGCCGGTGAGAAGTGCGTCCATGGCTTACAGCGACATTTTTTTTGGACCACGTCTTGCATGTCGTAGAGGATCAATTCGACTTGGGTGCTTCACATGCCGTGTCCAAAACGAGACGTTCTTGGTCCAATCTTTTCACCGTGGAATGGGTGTTCTGTGCCACTGACGCCCAAAGTAATTGCATAAAGTTCTGCCTTTATTATTGCTTTCAGCCTGGCTGCCTGCCCAACTGTGGTATGCCAGTCGTCTCACAGTTGCTCATGCTATGCATCTCTAGCAACTTGTTGAGGTAGTCAACAGACATTGTGATGTCAATGGCGCCGTCAGGTTTCAGAACCACTCGCGACAACACTAATTTTACATTGCTGGAAAACACCCATCAAAAACAAAAACTTGCCCACAAACTAAAGTATGTGTTTTGCAAGCAAGTATCGCTTCGCATGGCAGCGTTTCTCCTGCATCGTTTCAGCTTAAAGGTCCCATTGCTGTGTGAGAATGTGGCTGCTTACAAAGCTGGGACTTGGTTTAGGCCGTACATGACGCTCTTTAGATCACCATTGTGTCATTGGGACTTGGGACAATATTCTTACAGGTGGAGTCAACAGCACACGCTCAGACATGTGTGCGTGCAAAAAACCGTGCTTGGCACACCAAGAACGTGATATTGACAACAGCAGAAGTCTATGATTTCCACGTTTGACCAATTATTTCATTCAAGTCCAAGTGCTTTATTTACATTTTTTTGACACTATTAGTGGGAACATCATCAAACGACTTCATGGAATCTATGTATGTCTGCGCGCCGGTATCAAACACTCTGGAGGGAAGCTCCAAGCATCTCAATTGCTATGCATTGTAAGCTCACAATTTGTTTCTATGGGAACCTAGCCATCTTCAACAGCAACGCTACCATCTACAGACCAGCAGTGCAGTTTTTTGTGTGAGCGAACAAGTTCTCCAGGCAGTTCATTTCACAGCATGAGATCGCTCAGTTTCAATTCGTGGTCCAAATAGGCTGGTTGAAATGTTTGGGGCTGAAGAGCAAATCAAACTCACGCCATATCCACAGATTCAGCTCGTGGAGAGCTTGAAGCAAGGCGCCCAGCTTCGCTTGTGCAATAAGATTTTGCTGTTGAGAAGGTCTGGCGTTCCGTTTCAAGACTTTGAAACACCATTGTCATTTCACTTGAAGAGAGGAAAGGCCCGCAAAGGCTTTGCAGGACTTGAACATAGGCTTTAGATTCATCCCTGCTGATACCAGGAGTTGGTACAAAACATTACTTTTCAACTCTATTTTTGAAGCCCCTCATAACTTGTGGGCTGCATGTTCGTAACAAGGAGCAGAAATAACATTTGATTTTTTTCAAGTGGTTGAATTGTTGCGAGTTTCTTGGTTCAGGCTCAAGTGCAACAAAGTCCACTGAGCCTAGCAAGGATGTCACTCCATCAGGAGGCGATAACTCTCCTGTCCTTTTTTGCCGCCTGGGCCTTTCTGGCAATTTGTTTGATCTTGTGGCATTGGCGCTGGTGTCCAGACGGGGAGGACCGCCCTTTGCAGACCAGGCTCATGGAAATTGAGACTGGTGAGACGGCAAGGTTATTGGTGCAGGAAGAGAACGAAAAGACGCTTGTTGATCCCTGCACGAGAAAGTCTTTGGTGAAAATCCCAATGGGTATCCACCAAAAGGCAGTGTGGTATGGAATCATGAACAGTGTATGGATCTTGAGCATTCTCCCAGTCAGTTTGGTGTTTCTGAGCTTGTGCGCCTGGCTCCCAGTTTGCCTGTCCAACTTCTTCAAGGTGGCGCTGCAGCTGGTCATATTGATGATTTGCCTTAGTGTGATGAGCTAAGTTGTTCAGACACATGAAAACACAATGATTGTTCTAGATTCGAAACCCTTCAAGACTCAAGACCCAGTTGCATCAAGACATCGAGCTTGGAATGCAATGGCCGTGGGAAAGGTACTTGTAGGGAGGTGGTTACTTTGCGTGGTTTGATGTTGATGAACTCCCGTGACCTGCCAATGATTTTTCAATACTTGATTGCCGGATGTTTCCCAGAAACATGAGACCTTGGCCCTTCCACCTTAGACGATTTTCAACAGTTTAACAATGATCCACCAAACCCGAGTTTGCAGCATTCCGCTACAATTCAAAAAACAGCACGCATATTAATCATACACCCAGCGTACATGCTTTTGGTTTAATAACTCAGGTCTTGATCAACAACTTCTCTGAGTCTCTATTTTCTTCTGGAGCCCTTCCCAAATTCAGCGACATGGTCAGAGGTTTCGCGCTCTTTTGCCTGGCTTCTCTCGCTGTCATCACAGTGTTTGTGGGATTTGTGAGTGTGAACCAACACATATACAACGGAATGTGCGAGAGAGAGGCGCTACCCCTCTTCTTCCCAATCACAAAGGAAGCCTTGGCAGAGTGCAATGCTGGTCATGCGCCAGAAGCTTGCCACCGGATTCACGCAGAAGATGTTGTCAAAAATGAAACTGATGGCAACGAGTGTGTGGAATGGTGTCATATGACGGGTCTTCTTCTACCGTCTGCTGCTCGCATGGACGTCATGGGGTGCTTCAAAGCAGAGGCTTGGGCGGCTTTCTCCTTGCTCAACTGGGGTGGAGTGATTTGGACTGCGGTGATTGCAGCTTGTGCCTATCAATTGATTCGCTCGTGTGGCCAGAAAGAGACTCCCTCGGACCCCTCGAAGGCAAACCCGGACGAGAACAACGGCACGACTAATGGAACTCCCTCAACCACAGAATTCAGCAAGAGGGGCCCATATTTAAATGCCAAGCTTCCTTGGGGCATCACCGAGATGGCTTTTCGCAGTGCCAGCAAGAATGACAGAGCTGCCGAGAAGTTGAAATTGATATCGGACCTTGTACTGAGCCAATTTGAACCCTTTATGGACATCTACTCCGGTGTCAGCCTTTTGGCGCAGGGCCAACCTTACTACGGTTTCGGCATGCTTGCTGCAACCTTGTTGCCAAGCTGGTTCCACGATCGAGATCCCTTTCAGCGAGGGATGGTGAAGGAGCTTCAACGATCTATTCATCAAGGTTATTCGACGCGTGGCATGCTTGAACACCAAGACCGAGAGGGTCGCTATGAAGGAACGATGTCGGCCATTGTAGCTGCGTGTGCTTTGATCCGCACACCCTCGCTGCCGGTCAGCACAACACTGACACTTTTGATCAGTGTCGTCAGCTCTTTCTTCATCAGCATTCCAACAGGTTGCAGGGCCAGGAAGATCTTGGATTCTGGAATCGACAAAGACAACTACTACGGAGCAGAAGAAGCGAAACGGGACATGTCATGGGGCGAGAAATTCTATCTTTCCGCCTGGACTGTACATCTTGGTTGCGTCCTGGGGTGGTTCTGTTGCTCTGTGCATGAACTGGGCAAGATAGCCTTTGGCTTCGGTGAACTCCAAGACCTTGCCTTGCCCTTGTCATCCTTTTGTTTGGAGGGGTTGCCTTGATTGCTGATAGTACTATGCTAGAGCTGGTTATGCACTACTTGGAGTCTTTGCTCTCCTTGTGGTTTTGGATCTGGGTATGGATGCTTTTGTTCGAACAGCAAAAGGGTTTCTTTGAAGATGGGATTTTTGGCTGGCAGACCCGACAGCATCTTGGCTTCCTCAGTGGCACTCTGGTCTTCTGTGTGCAAGTAGTTCTGCTTCGTTACTACAAGCCTGAGAGGACTGTGCAGACCTTCGAGCCTGGAAAATACAAGCTGAAGAAGCGCATGGGAGAGCGCATCCTTCAGGGGCAAGTCGTCAGATTGACAAAAGTAGGCTCATCTTGGGGCAAGCTTGCGGAAGGCAAATGGGTGCAGATCAATCGGAGCAATATTTGGGACTATGCCTTCGGCTTTTTCCATGCTCATGCCATCGAAGAAAATGGTCCCGCTAAGGATGAAAAAAGGTTGGGTCACTACAGTTACGAAGCTCCAGAATCTCAGTTTGTCTACTGCAGCGCCTCCGGGGGCGCCTCCGCAGGACGTCAAATTGAGAAGGATGCAGGCATGGTTGTGGAGATTACACAAGTTACGCCTTCTACAACTTCAGTGAACGGCCGCCTCAAGGACTCTGAGGTGTACATCCAATTGGCAGAAAACACCGTTTTGGGAAGCCTGTCAAGTGTTGTGCGACTCCATTAAATGGGACGCAGGAGTGACTTGGACTCAGACCTTGCCTTGCTTCAATGGTAGACAAAAGTCTGCGTGCTGATTGTTTGTGCTTGTGCTGTTTACATTCAGTCAGGGCAGTAGGGACAAAAACGTTTTGGGCAAGAGAGCTGAGGGCTTAAACGGTTTTTCAACGACGTATATGTATATATATGTATATATATATATATGCGCTGCTCACGGTCAAAGTTGTCCGACCATCCTTGATGGAGACTGCTTCAGATGAAAGAAGGTAAGAAGGTTTGCCAAAGGTTCGCCTTAGAATGAATCTAGCAAAGAAAGTCTTTCTGAGCCCGGCGCACCAGCCAGGTGAACAATCTGCACTGCCAACGACCCCGCGCCGTTGATACTTCCAAAAAAGGGTGAAGATTGTGCGCTTCCGTTAGACCTGTAGACAGAGATCACAGTTGCTTTCTGTCAGAACAGGTTGCCCGTTAGCCAGATGCATGTTGTAGGATCACACGCGGTTCTACTTTTTTGCAGTGGTGACGTTGTGTTCAATTGGCAGGCTAAGGGTCGTCAATGCCAGTCATTGAAGGCAAGACAGGCCTTCTACATGATTGAATTTCGGATTTGTGCAAGCAATCAAGCAAGCAAAACTGGTGTTGAGGGGAGACAAGGGTGATTTGGCTCAATGGTATGCAGGACAAGAGTACACAGGGGTGGTGCTCGTTTGAAGAGTGCTCTTTACAAACCCAAATGAAGGGCAAACAAGCACAGATTCATTTTCTACCTTTTCAAACATTTCTTGGAACCGAGATTGCAAGCTAGTTGGACAGAGTGCTTGCACGATGCATAGATGCAGCTGCATTTTTGAGACAAGTCCCCGCTTTTCATTTCAGGTTATATATATGTTGAAACGACACTCGTGATCTCAGGATGTCCCATCAGGTTGAGACATCGTATCATGCAGGGACTCTAGGCCCAGGCCATCGGAGAAACAGAAGCCCGTGCGTAGCCGATCGGAGTCGGCTGCCAATGTTTTTACATTGGTAGCGGAGCCCAGGTTAAGTCCTGGGCTCCCGCTCCATAGGATTGGAGTGCGACACTCGTGATCGCCATGGCGGCGAGTTCTGAAGGCGCTCATGGCCTTCAATACTTCTCGGGCGAATCAGAGGACGCTCGGGAATACAAACGCTGGAAACAGTGGGTCATGAACAGACTCCTGACCCTTGAAGACAAGGTGGCGCCCAAGGCACGAGGTGCCTACATATATACTCTTTTGTCGGGGAAGGCATTGGAGTGTGTGGAACACCTTGACCCAGCTAGCTACCAGAAAGAAGGTGGAGAACGTGTGTTGCTGGAGCGCCTCGACAAGCGCTTTCCCCAGAAGGATGCTAGCGATGAAATGAGCGAGTCATTGACCGAGATCTTCAACCTTCGAGCTCATGACGGAGAGAACTTGAAGACCTGGATTTCACGTGCCAGCGAGCTGTTTGAAAAGTGTGAAAGGAAAACCAATGTTTCCTTTCCTGAAGAGGCTCGCGGATGGCTGATTCTCAACAGATTTGGCCTATCAGAGGAGCAGAAAGCAGTGGTTCTGGCCAGATCCTTGGGAGTCTTGAAGCGGGAAGAAATTGGTCGCTCCATGCGCTCGTGTTACCCCGAGTTTGTCGTGAAGAAGAAACACTTGGGGGCTAGCATTGTAGAAGGGGACTTTGGTAACACTGCGCCCGAAGGTCTCAGTCCGGACGAAGATTCTGACCTGGCTCACGAAGTTGAGGCTTTTCTGGCCGACCACGACCTTCAGCCAGATGACCATGAGCCTGAGGAGATCTTCACGGTGGCTGAAGCTTTGGCCATTTCATGGAAGGATCGCAGGAAGGAGCTTGGAAAACTCCAGCGGTCCCGCAAGTTTGGAGCTGCAAGCCAGGCCTCCAGAGCCGGGGGAAGCCTTCGGTGCCTTCCGCGACAGACCTCAAACGCAGCTACCGAGTGGAGATTGCTGAGTTGAAGCGCAAGACCAAATGTCATCGTTGTGGCATGGTTGGACATTGGTCGAAAGAATGTACTCAGCCTCGGACAACTCCTCCAGGTGCTGGTCGCAGTTCTTCGTCCAGTGGTTATGCGAAGAAGGAAACTGGTGCTGCATTTGTCTCAGAGGCCGCCGAGCTTGAGCAGGAGTACGAAGAACCCCAAGCTGGGTTAGAATTTGTGGCCATGGCGGGCGTTTGCCCGTGCCCTTTGTCGCCGTTGTCCATCCTCCGTGAGAAGCGACGCCTCATGGGTATGCTGCCTGATGAGTTGCCTCATCCAGAAGTTCTTCTGGTCAGTTCACCTGGCTTTGGAGTTTTGGACTCCGGACGTGGGAGATCAGTCATTGGTCGCGATACATTGACAGAGTTTCATCAGTTGTGGCGCGCCGCCGGTGTTCCAATCCCCACGGAGATCCACGAGGTGAATCATTTTCGCTTCGGGAATGGCGAGAAGGAGACCACCGAGTCAGTGATTCGTCTTCCAGTCACTCTGGGAGGCAAACAGGGCACCATCCGCACCGCCATCGTGAGGGGACAAGCTCCCTTCCTCATCTCACGCAATGCTTTACAGACATTGAAGGCAGTCATTGATTTTGGCAAGCAGCAGTTGACATTGTTTGAAGAGCAAGTGTTGGTCCCCTTGGTGACCAATGAGGCCGGTCAATTTGCAGTCAAAGTGGTTGGCTCCAGTGATCAAGTCAACTTTGAGCAAGAAGTGATGTGCAGCACCTTCACTGACAACTCAGGATCCATGCCCTCGCCGGTCTCAAAGGACCGGCCAGCTGGCTCTTCCAAGGTCGAACAGGAGTCGTCGATCGACCATTCCTTGCCAGGCGACTCGGAGTCACTTCAGTACTGGGTAAGACATGATTCCTTTTTGCAAAAGACACCCACCATAGGGAAACAAGGCCCACAATGGCAAACCGTGACCCGTCGCCGAATTGTCGATGAAACGACGAATGCTGTTTTGTTTGATGAAATGATCGAGCCACAAAAAGGTAAGTCATACTATCATCATGTGTTGCCTTACCAGGTTCTACACACTCGTACCGAGTTTTGGTTTCGACCACAGGAGCTTGCTTCCACGCTTGATTGTCTCCCAGTGCATTACGTTCGACAACTGAAGTCGCAACTGAGAGATTTAGATGTTCAGATGAAACAACCTCCAGAGCATGGCACTCCGGCGGATTACTCAGTTCTTCGTGTAGCTGAAGTTTTTTGCCCCCCAAGATTTGCACCGTTGGTCACTGGAATGGGAGGTGAATGTGTTTCATATGACTTGTTGACTGGATATGACATGTCCCAGGCTTCTGTACGCGATCAAGTGTCCAGGGAACTCCGCGAGACACCTCCCGATCTCTTGGTTCTGTGTCCGCCCTGTACCGACGAAGGAGGCTGGTTCAATATCAATTCGCTCAATATGACACCGCAGGAAGTGGCACACCGGGTCCGGATGAGCCGGATCTTCGTCCGTTTCTGCTGTGAGTTGTTCCGCCAGCAGGCTGAAGCCGGACGACAGGCCTTATTCGAGCATCCCAGAGGGTCTAGGATTTGGTCATATCCAGAGATGCAAGTACTTTCGGCAGAGTATTTTCCTTTGGAGTGTGACTTATGTAGATATGGACTCCGGCTGCCTGACACAGACCGACTCATCCAAAAGCCAACTAGGCTTCTGGTTAGTCATGCCTCCATGTCCACTCTAGAAAAGAGGTGTCCCGGATCTCATCACCCTCAACACCGTTGCCATTTTCCTGTAGCTGGGTCACACCCCTCAGTTGGTCGTGTAAGTACGTTCACTGGGAAGTACACCCCAGCGTTCGCGCTGGCTGTCATGAACACTGTGGAGAAGTATCGTGCCTTGGCAAAACAGGTCATGCCTGTGTGTGTTCCATGGACACTCGACCATGAACGTCAAGTAATGATGGTACAGGACGATTTGGCCCAGGATGACGACGAGGCTGTTCGTAAGGCCTTGACCCGACTTCATAAGAACCTAGGCCATCCATCACAGGCCGATCTCGTCCGACTGCTAAAGCATGCTCAGGCTTCCGAAAAGGCTATCAAGCTGGCCCGCCAGCTCACACCACTTGATTGACCCGCCTACTTCAGCTGTGATTTTTGCCTTTCCCAAGGGAAACCGCATACCCCACTGCCGGGGCAGACCAGCCACCCCACAGTGTTTAATCGTGTGGTGGGGATGGATGTGAAGCATCTCAGGGGATGGAAACCCAACCAAACGATCAAGGCTTTGAATCTAGTTGATCACGCCAGCAACTACCAGCTAGTTCTTCCTTTTTATGAGCAAGAGACTTCTCAG